TGCAACAATCTTCACAGGAAGGCAAAACAGTTAAATGGCAGGTTACAGATATTTCCAGTTGACTGTTTATTTTTGACGGATAAACTCAAGGATGTTGATTGTTTTGAAAGAATCACCCCGACGCACACTGATGCACACACAGATGAGCTGACATTTTAATTGTTACGCACATCGCGGAGGTAACTAAACCAATCAAGAAATGATTCCCATCAGAACATCAGAGCTTTATACTGGACACTGTGTTCAGCACGGCTCGGAGCGCACCCGGTAGACAGTGAGCTGAAGATCTGTAGAGGGGTTCGCAGCGCAGCGCAGAACCACGGCGCATGCGGTAAGATTTCCTCCCACTGAAGCGGTCTGGAAAGCCGGTCTCTCTGAGGGATGTGTCACTTGGAAAAACGTTCTCTGATTATGAAACTTTGGCTGAACAGCGCTTGTTCCCGTCTCTAATATGGAGATGCATGACGCATCCAGTCCGAGGCAGAATAGCCTCTTCAGCTGAGAAAGCACCTGTAGAGACATTTGATCACGCACAAAGTTTATGTGGAGCAGAAGCGGTCGGGACACGGCAGGTGAAATGTTCCTAACCTACATGAAGTGAAACATTAATGTTACTGGACATGCTGGTCTGGTTGGTTAGACCAGTGTTTGAAGTGGAAAACACACACACGCACACACAGATTCAATAAGCGCAAGCTGCGCAAACTCCGGCGCGCCGTCAGACTGAAGACGGAAATGAGCGCTGCCTCCTCTGTGATAAAAACTTTTGAGATTTTATAACATTTTTCATTCAAGGCCAAATTAAGATATTAGCTTCTATTTTGGGATGACGTATTAAAGTCGAGTCCGCTCTAGCCAGTGACTCCTCATGAACCTGACTACAACTCATGTTACTGCAGCATTTGTTATTCCAGTCAGCGTGGCAGCGGATCGCAGATTCAGCCACACCATAAAACAGCAATAAGTCGGTCTGAGGCAAAAGTGAACCTCATGGCTATATCGTTTCCATCTTTTCCCATAGACATTTGATTACGAACAAGTAGGTGACCAGTTCAGGTTTACGCAGAGCAGAATGAAGGAGAAACGTTCCTACATTAAAAACAACATTAAATTGCATTTTTTATGTGCTACCTGGGCACTCTAAATGTTTATTTAAAATTAAATCAAAGGAAATTGTAATGGTATCGAATGTTGATTAATTACTATTTAAAAAATGAAAGTGATGGGGAAAAAGGTCGATCATATTTTTTTAACCCTGTCTGTCGAGTGACTGTTTAGCTTGACATATATATATATATATATATATATATATATATATATATATATATATATCCATGCCCTGATGTGGGGGCTGGGGGGTGTGTCGACATGGTCGGGACATAGAAGGGGGTGCACGGCTAAATAAGTTTGGGAACCACTGGCTTAGACTGCTGGAGGACATACATACTTTCCACACTCTACAACTTTCTTCTACAATCTGCTCTTTAACTGTATTATTTTCTGCTATTTCAGCTGTTAACTTTATTTTTTCTCTAAGTGTTTTTCTCCCCAGAAGAAGCTACAATGATGTTCTGCTGAGCTGTGGTGGCCTCATGGAGGGGGCCATCGTCTTGAACACTGCTGCTAACCACTTAAACGTTCTCCCTCTCCTGATAATAACATTTTGCTTTTCTTGACGTTGGATGTGCTACTACTAGTTTGCCCGTTTAATTATAGATTCACTAGGATAAATACAATAAAGGTTATCTCTCACCAAATAGAATATTTACTAAGCAATCACAATGACTGGGACCAGGAAACGGGACCACATCAGTCCGGTTCTGGCCTCCCTGCACTGGCTTCCGGTTTGCTATCGTTCACACTTCAGACTCCTCGTCTTTGTTTTTAATTTCTTCCAGGGTGTTGGTCCCCCCTATCTAGCCACGCTCCTGAACAGACATTCCCCATCACGCGCTCTGCGCTCCTCTGACCAAGGCCTGCTCGTTGTCCCTCGGTCTAGGTGTCGTACTCGCGGGGACCGGGCTTTCTCAGACCTAGCACCGTCACTATGGAACCAGTTGCCACCCTCAGTTAGGCTGTCCCCATCTCTGCCAGTCTTCAAGTCGCCTAAAAACCCAGCTCCTCTGCTTGGCGTTTCCTGAACGTGTTTGAATTTGGCCCTCTTTTATGTTGACTTTATCTCACAGTTTTCATTAGTTCACTTTTTCCCTTGTTTTACACATTTGTCTCCTACTAAAATGTTTCACCTTTTTTGTAATTTGTAATCTGTAATTTGAATTGCTTTTATTTTCTGATTTATTCACTTTATTTAACTTTGTATTGTTCCATGTTCAGCGCCTTGGGCTTCCTGACAGGGTTGCGGAAGGCGCTTTATAAATAAAGCTTTGATTGATTGATGTAACCATAGAAACATTACTTGGTATATTTGGTGTGTGTGTGTGTGTCTGCTCTGTCTTCTCAATCCCCAATGAGTCGTGGAGGATGGCTGCTTATACTGAGCCAGGATCCTTTGGCGATTTCTTCCTGTTAAAAGGGAGTTTTCCTCTCCACTGTCGCTGCATGCTTGCTTAGTATGAGGATTGCTGTATAGTCACTGACACTAGTCAGTGACTTGATGCAATTTGCTGGGCTCCTTATATAGGACACTTTTTTCTGACTGGCTTAATGAACTGAGGTCTCATTTATAAAACATTGCGTAGAATCCTTACTAAAACCGTACTTAAGCTTAGCAAAACAAATGTACTTACGCCAAGTAGGTTTGTGATCTATAAAACATGGAGGTCGCACAGCTTCATGCAATCTCCGCTTTATAAATCAGAAACTGTCTAGGAATGTGCTCAGCTGATTTTTTTTTATCATATCCTGCCCTCAACACGGCCACTTTCTGCCATAAATGGTCAATGTGGATCTCATGCATATACATAAGCTGGCTCGTTGCAGCAAACGGTAACCGCAGATCAAGGAAGTGCAATTTTGAGGTACTTGTGGGTGAGGTGAAAAAATGAAAGGAAGTGCTTTCGCAAAAGTAATAAGAGAAAACCCACGGAGTGGCACAGCGTTGCTGAAGCCATCAATGCTGTGAGTTCTTCAGAGAGATCTGTGTCGGATATTTCAAAAATGGTCAGAACAGGCTTTGATCCCGGGACTCCGGAGTGAGAGTCACGCACGCTAACAAGTCAGCCAAATGGACAAATGGGGTGGGGGGTCGGCTTGTTCTGTGTGCGCACAAAGCGGTACAAGTGATAATGCTGCTGGAATTCATAATTGTATCCTTCTCAGCAGCAGCACTGCAGGTGCCAAAATGTCCGTATGCCAGGTCATAAGTCGACTTAAAGTTGCGCACATTTTCTACGTTTTCTTTTATAAATCCCAAAGTTTGCGTGGAAAGTTTCTTACGCAGTTTTCCGACCCAATTTTGTGCGTAAGCAAACTATAAATGAGGCCCTTGAACTGTATTTGAATGTTTACTGTGTGAAGTGCCTTGAGATGACTCTTGACGTAATTTGGTGTTTTATAAATAAACTTAAATTGAAGAGTAGACAAGGTGTCTGCTTTGTTGTAGGTCATTTTGGGACGTTGCTGTAAAAAAATGAGGCGTGAACCTGAAAAGCTTCTGCCGATCACAATTCAACAACGGATTATGAAAGAATGGATAACGCTTGAAACGCGCGGATTCTTTCTGATGTAGGTGAGTCTACTCTTTGTTTTGGTAGTTTTGACATTGACATCATCCTAGCACGCAACGTTCTGTGACTCATTAAAAAAAACAGTAAAAACAATGAAAAACGCTGGCAGCGAAGGGCTTTTCTGATCAGGAAACGGCTGAATGTGAATGAGTTAGTTGTTGTGGCAGTGTGAGCGTCCTGTCACTGTGTCCCAATTGATCAGGCGCCCTGGTTACTTGGCCAAGGGGATGTCCGCGCTCATGATTTTCACCCGGAGTCTGGGGATTGAATCCTGCCCAGGCCCTCATTTCTCTACCTTGCCACATTTGGCGTTGTTGGCAGGATCCATGTAGTACTGTCAAGTAGGTCCATGGATTTGAAGTTTGTGGCACCCTGTGCGGGAGCACAAGGACGTGCATGTAGAAAGAGGGGGGAAGATGCGACAGGGTGAGTGTCATGGCACTGTATCACGATTGATCATGCGCCCTGGCTACTTGGCCAAGGGGATGTCCCTTGGGCAGACTGGTTAGCACTTGTGATTCTCACCCGGGAGTCTGGGGACTGAATCCTGCCTGAGCCCTCATTTCTCCACCTAGCCACATTATGTTCTCTGACAAAAGTAAATTTATAATTTCCTTTGGAAGTCAAGGTCCCGGAGTCTGGAGGAAAAGAGGAGAGGCACAGAATCCACAGTTTCCACAGTCAGTGATGGTTTAGGGTGCCATGTCATCTGCTGGTGTTGGTCCATTGTGTTTTCTGAGGTCCAAGGTCAACGCAGCCATCTACCAGGAAGTTTTAGAGCACTTCATGCTTCCTGCTACTGATTAACTTTATGGAGATGCAGATTTCATTTTCCAACAGGACTTGCAACCTGCACACAGCGCCAAAGCTACCAGGACTGGTTTAAGGACCATGGTTTCTCTGTTCTTGATTGGCCAGCAAACTCACCTGACCATACCCCCACAGAACATCTATGGAGTGTTATGGAGAGGAAGCTGCAACAATTCAGCAGACCTGAAGGCCAGTCAGAGCAACATGGGCTCTCGTAACACCTGAACAGCATCACAGACTGATGGACTCCAGGCCATGCCGCATTGCTGCTGTAATCCAGGCCAAAGGAGCCCCAACTAAACGCTCATACTTTTCATGTTAATATTTTTGAGGTGGTCAACACTTCAGAAATTCCTTCTTTTGCATTGGTCTTAGTTGATATTCTAATTTCTGAACTACTGAATGTGGGATTTTCATTGATTGTCAGTTATAATCATCATCATTAACTAAATAAACATTTTAAATGTACCAGTCAGTGTGTAATGAATCAATCGAACATACAAGTTTGACTTTTTAAATGGAATTACTTTAATTATCTTTGTCAGAATATTCTAATTTTATGACCAGCACCTCTAAAAAGTAGTTAGTTTACACTTTCAGTTAGTTTACTTTTCAATTTTTCTTTTTTATTTTAATTAACGAGAACTTTTTTTTTATTCTATTATTTGTTATTTTGTTAGTATTCGGTAATAATAATCCTGGTCAGGGGTACAGCTATAAATCAGAATAATCATTTAGCGACATCATCATTCATCACATTCAAGATCTAGCAGAGTTCAGTTCAGAGTCGCTGCTCATCAGCACTGAAGCAGGTTCAGCTGATGATGTCACCGAGGACTCTGGCGGACCAGCGACAGGGATTTCTGAGGTCTGGTGGATCTTCATGTGAGTTTTCAGACAGTGGCTCTGGGTGAAGGCTTTCTCACAGATGGAGCACTTGTAGGGTTTCTCTCCATTGTGGGTCCTCATGTGAACCTTCAGGTGTTCCTGTCGATAACACGCTTTCCCACAAATCCCACAGACGAACTGTTTGATGCCGGAATGCAGAAAGGCGTGATTCTTCAGGTGACATTTATGTTTGAAGCAGCGTCCACACTCGGAGCATTGGTATGGCGCCTCGCTGCTGTGAGTCTTTGAGTGAAGACTTAGACTTCCGTTTGATCCAAAAGTTTTCCCGCACACATCACAGATGAACGTTTTCTCACTGCTGTGAATCCGGATGTGTTTCTTAAGACCTGGTTGAGATGGAAAGGTTTTGCTGCAGATGTGGCAGAGGAACGGTCGGTCTTGGACGGTGTGAGTTCTCATGTGTGCCTTCAGTGTATTGTGAAGTTTAAAGCGTTTCCCACAGACCTCGCAGGCGTATCGTCGCTCTGCTGAGTGGATCAACCTGTGCTGGGTCAGACCTCTGCGGTCAGTACAAGGCTTATTACAGATGTTGCAGGAGTATTCATCAACTCTGGAGTGTGCCTCTCGGTGTGCCGTGAGCTGCTTCTCCAAAATAAACGATTTCTGACAAATGTCACATTGGTGTGGTTTCTCTTCTCTGTGTGACAGACGATGATGGTACAGAGCAGACATGTTATCGAAGCTTTGGTCACAAATCAGACATTTAAAAGCCCGCTTCACTGCGTGTCTAGCTCTGTGTTTATTGAGACTTGCAAGGGAAACAAAAGTCTTCCCACAGAGTGAACAGCCGTGAAGTTTCTGGTGATTTTGTAGATGTTCCTTTAACTTTTCCACTGAATCAAACTTCTCCTCACAGACGCCACAGACATCCTGCTGCTGCTCCACGTGACTCCAGGAGTGTTTGATCAAACCTGCCAGCTGCCTGTACCAGACTCCACACACTTTACAGCTATTCTTCTCAGTCTGATTTACGGCCTTTTTAGATTTATTTCCCCTTCTTTTTGGTTTGGTTGGAGGTTCCAGCTCTGGGTCCCAGTCACCCGAGTCTAGCTTCTCCTGTCCATCATTGCTGGAGTCATTCTCAGCTCCTTCCTCCGGTTTCAGTTCCTGGCCTTGTGATCTTGTTAAGCTGCTGGACAGATGGTCTCTGCTTTTATCGATTACACTGTAAACAAAACATGATGTGATGGGTTAATATTAATGACAAAAATACTGGTGTAGACTTGGCCCTGTAAACAAGCATAAACATAAAAACACGCATAATTTATCATTATCGAGTTTAAGTGGAAGATTCAAGAGAAGAGAAACCATGCAACTGTGATATTTGTTGAGAGGAGGACCCACCAGGTAGCACAACCTAGAATTTAGGAGCAACAATAATAATACATTTTATTTAAAGCATCTTTCAGGAAAATCAAGGTCACTGTACAACTAAACAATGAAAAGCAAGCTAAAAGTAATCATTACAGACAGCAGTAGCTCAGGTGATAGAGCAGGTTGCCCAGTAATCAGAAGGTTGCAGGTACGAGCCCGGCTCTGACAGGAGAATGCTGCTGTGTCCTTTGGCAAGACACGTAACCCACCCTGCCTGCTGGTGGTGGTCGGAGGGACCGGTGACGCCAGTGTTTGGCAGCCTCGTCTCAGTCAGTGCAACCCAGGCAGATGTAGCTACATCGTAGCTCATCCCCCCCCCCCCCGTGTGTGAATGGGTGAATGTAGAACCCTAAGAAGGCGCTATACAAATACAGGCCATATACCATATGCTTTACATTGCTTTAACAAACTAAAAATGGGCAGAAATGCCACCTCATTTTCGGGGTAATATTTTTTGTAAGGGAGATGAAAAAAACATCTGTCTCTTACTGTTGTACACCTTGCAGGGTAGGCCTCCATCATGAGCCAGTCACTGAGAAACCAGACAATCAGAGGCAAGATTTCCGAATATCAGGAAATAATACAGAGTAAGACTCCAAATTACTCGCTCTGCTGCTCCGTTCTCATCCAACTTACTTCTGGTTCCTGAAACAGGAGCACCAGATCTTTTCTAGATGGACAAGTCGAACTAAAGACCACTGCAAATGTGTTGAATAAATAATGTTGGAGTGTGAAGCCTAACGGTAAAGTACCACAACATTTCTCAAACCTTCGCACAACAAGGACAGAACACCCTTTCAAAATAAAATGTCTAAATAAAATTTGACTAAGATACATGATGATGTGGGAGATATTTAAAAACTCACTGTGTCATGCATGTGTATGTACAGGGTACATGCAGGGATCTCTAAATTAAATTTAAGACTTTTCCAAGACGTTTTAAGACCTTTTAAGACTTAATTGCAATGAACTACTAAACACTAATATATTCTCTCTAAATACTGCATTGCTTCGTTTTCCACTTCAATTGGCGGGATACGTCATGTCCGGGACAGCGAGGCCGTAGCTTTGGTACGTAAAGTCATGTGGTACGGAAACGCAAGCAAACAGCTGGCATAGACCAACAAAACTTCATTTTCTTAGTTTACATGCATCTATTTTTCATACCTGCAAACTCAGAGGGAGAGAGAACCTCTTATCAATGTACTTATTGTAATGTCCAGAAATGGTCAGTTTTCACCTACAGATTGACCTACATGCCATCGGTCGGCTGCAGACATGAATCTGCCTCTGTGCATCTGTTAATCTTCCAAGTTGCAGGAAAAGATTCAACACTGCGTGTTTACACTCAGATTGTCAACATCATGTTCCCTTCTCATGGTCCTTCTGTGCCAAGCCTGTCTGCTTATCTAGGCCGTCCTGCACACAAGAAAGGACTGAACTGTTATAATAGTGAATGAACAATATGGTTGAATGAACAAATGTTTTATGAAAATTAATAATGCCTTGATTAATCTGTGCTTACATTAATAAGGTTGATTAATCTGTGCTTACATTAATAAGGTTGATTAATCTGTGCTTGAAGTTTGAAATGAATGTTATTATTACATTGAAAGATTTATATATGATGATCAGTAATGTTTTATTTATTTATTTATTTATTGAACATGCATGCAAATCAATAGACAACCCAAAGCATTCAAAAAGTCTCCAAAAAGAAACCCACACATATGTATATGCATATATACACATACACACATACACATATACATACATACATATATATATATATATATATATACATATATACATATATATATACATACACATAGACATGTAGAACATGTTCAATGGGAAGGGAACAAAGCTCTGGTAGCTTATATAATCCCCCCCAAATCAAATTTCAAGAAAGACAAAACAAAAAATATATATATTTTCCCTACACTGAGTGTCATTGCCATTTTCCTATAACATGTTTTATCCTCAATCACACAAACCAAATTTACATTTTCTCATGTTCCAACCCCCCCCCCCCCCCCCCCCCCCCCGCCATGTTCACAGCTCCCAGTTCACCAACAATAGACAATTACAATCAAATGCTACACCCTTACAACTTTTCCTCCTCCTCCATGTAATTAATTGGTATAATTTTTTATACTTCTCTTTAAACTTATGCAATGAGGGACTTTGCTTTAGATCCTCACTTAGCTTATTCCAAACTCTTACACCCGTAACAGAAATACAAAATGACTTTATAGTTGTTCTAAAATATGTATGCCTAAAGTTAAGTTTGTATCTGAAATTATATAGGTTATCTGGTTTTATAAATAGCATTAATAATGTGTGTGGTGCTAATTTCCTATGCACTTTAAACATGAATGTCGCTGTATATAGCTGAATTAAATCTTTAAATTTTAGTATTTTAGAATATATAAATAACGGATTAGTGTGGTCTCTAAATCTAACATTGTGAACGACTCTCAGGGCTCTTTTCTGTATGATAGACAAGGGTACAATAGATGTTTTATAAGTGTTACCCCATACCTCTACACAGTAAATAAGATAGGGATAAATCAATGAATAATAAAGGACATGGAGTGATTTATAATCCAAGTACTGCCGAGCTTTATTCATAATGTAGATGCTTCTCGCAACCTTATTGTATACATGTTTAATTTGTGGTTTCCAACTTAATTTATTATCAATTACTATTCCAAGGAACTTATGTTCTGTTACTTGCTCAATTGCACATCCATCTATTTGCAGCTTAACCTCAGTTTTATTAGCCATACCAAACAACATACATTTTGTTTTTGCTATATTTAATGTAAGCTTATTTTCAAAAAACCACTCTTTAATGACGCACATTTCAATTTGGACCATCCTTTCTAACTCGCTAATATTCTCTCCTGCACAGAAAATAGTGGTATCATCGGCAAACAAAACAAATGTCAGTGTATTTGTTACATTACTCAAATCATTAATATATAATAAAAATAATTTTGGACCCAACACAGACCCCTGTGGTACTCCACAAACAATGTCCAACCTTGTAGATGAACATTCTCCAAATTTCACAAACTGTCTCCTCTGTTGTAGATAGCTTGTCAACCAGCTCAACACTACACCCCTAATCCCATACCTCTCTACCTTTTCAAGTAACATTTTATGATTAACTGTATCAAAAGCCTTTTTTAAATCAATAAATATCCCTAGAACATGTTTCTTCTGATCAATTGACGTTGCAATTTCTTCCACAGAATGCACCAGAGCTAGTGATGTTGAACTATTTGGTCTAAATCCATACTGACAGTCTGAAATTATCTTGTATTTATCCAAAAATATTTCGAGTCGATTATTAAACAATTTTTCAAGAATCTTGGAAAATTGTGGAAGCAATGAAATTGGCCTATAGTTCGTAAATTGATGCTTATCCCCAGTTTTATATATTGGTATAACTTTTGCAACTTTCATTAATTTTGGGAATACACCTGATTGAAAAGACTGATTGCAAATATATGCAAGTGGTTTTGAAATTCCTTCTATCACCTCTTTTACCGTCATCATGTCAATGCCATGACTGTCAGTTGATGTTTTACCTTTACATGTTTTTACAATTTGTATTATTTCTTGTTCCTCTACAGCTGAAAGAAACATGGAATGAGGATTAGGTTTGATTTGTTTTAAGAATGGTGTATGTGATGTAGATGAGCTAGATGTGTTTTCTGCCAATGACGGTCCTATATTTACAAAGAATTTATTAAAGCTATCAGCCACATCACCATAATCATGTTTTACAATACTGTTTTCAACAAAATATTTCGGAAATTTATCATTACCTAAATTTGGTCGAACTACATTATTTAATATTTTCCACACTTCTCTAATATCATGTTTAGCATTATTCAAACTTTTATAATAATACTCCTTTTTACATTTTCTTATTATATTGGTAAGCTTATTCTTATATATTTGATATTTATGTTCAGCTTCTGGAGTGTTTTTATTTATAAACAACCTGTACAAATTATTTTTCTTTTTGCAGGCACACTTTATCCCCTTCGTCATCCACGGTTGATTATCCCTTGTGTTTGAGCTACTACATTTTGTTAAGGGACAATTCTTATCATACAATGAAATAAATATTCTTACAAAGGTCTCATAAGCCTGGTCAACATCAGTTTGCTGGTACATTTCCTCCCATGTCTGTCTTATCAATTCGTTCTTGAAGGCATTAGTTGTATTAACTGTTCGTATGCGTCTGTACCTTATACTAATACCTGGATTATTATTCCTATAATTATCATCATAAATTATAAAAATGGGTAAGTGGTCAGTAATATCATTAACTAAGAGACCACTTATTATATTATTCTCTATGTTATTTGTTAGTATATTATCAATTAATGTTGCACAGTGTGAAGTTACTCTAGTTGGTTTAGTAATTGTCGGGTAAAGGCTTAAACTATATGCTGTATTAATAAATTCATCTATTTGCTTCAATTTGTTAGGATTTAGGAGATCAATGTTAAAGTCACCACAAATGAAGATTGTCTTCTGAAGTGTTGAATAGGTTCCCTCAAACCATTTTAAAAAGGCATGCATATCAGACCCAGGTGCCCTGTATACACAACTGACAACAATGTTTTTCATATTAGACTTTGATATTTCTATAGATATACACTCTAATAAATTATCAACTGAAAATGACATTTTTTTTACAACTTTGTAATTTAAATTCTTATCAACATATAGTGCAACACCTCCTCCACTCTTATTTTGTCTATTAAT